TAATCTCTGTGTTAAATACATCTCCTGGACATAGAGGGAAAACTGGATAGGATTGTAGATCAAATGCTGAGTACTATATGCATTTGTTAGTCTCTACAGAATAATCTTACATGTATGTTTCATAAACTGTTTTGTGTTAAAATGGTGAATATAAACTTGGCCTCTTGTCTGCTATAGTGATATTGAGTAACCTTTGTCCATTGAAGAGTATTGCACATTTTTAATGTGACATCTATAAGCCTCACCAAGGGATCAGCCTCATTATGCCAGTAACAACCAAATATAGTCTACAGACAATGTTATGAAAGAGTTTAATTTGGCAAGGAAATACAAGTGCATGAAGAAGTAACTAGGAAAAAGGTCACAGACAGGGTGACTAATATGAATATTTTTGTAAAAATGAGAAGCCTCTGTGCATCATTCTCCTTTTATTTACTTAGTCTTTGATAGTCAATGGGATGCAATGAAACTGCAGAGCCTAGCTTACATAGAAGCTGCTTGTGAAAATACATAGCAACTATGCAAACCTTGTAAGAGCTAAGGCTAGTTAGCAGCCTTCTCCTTCAAAGACTAACGTATTGTCAAAACCACTAAGATCAGTTCTTAGGCCAACGAGTGGACAACATCAAATAATCCTTTAAGCTTTTTATCATTATATGATAATGTGTTTCATGTTCAATTCTAATATATTTTTATGCCTAGCAAAATCTATTATCTACAGAATTCAAAACAGATCTGTACTTTTGCATTGCGTTTATGCGGGAAAGCAGTAGTCAACTAGCAGTCATGGTGCTGAATTTCCAGACAAGAAACGTTCTTTTTCTTCTTATGTGAACCAATAGATTCAGCTAGAGTCTGGAGCTTTACATTTCATTTTTGTTATAAATTATTGCTGCTTTAAACCATTGGTTATGGTTTATTTATAGAATAATACGTAGTTCACAATTAAATGCCAAGCTATAACTGAATCAAACAATTCTGCCGATGCTTTGACTCACAAGGGTGCAGCCCAAGGGCCTTTATAAAGGGCACTAGAATCTGAGTCTAAATTACAGCCCCAGTATTCAGTCTGGGATCACACATTATAATTCATAATAGGGCTAAAAGGATTATTATAATACTGCAGTAAATAAAAAGAAAGTGTATCAAACAGCAGAATTCAGAATGCTTGCAGACGCTTTCAGTTTATGATGTGGGAGGCTAAAGATTATACTACATGAGAAATGAGGCTAGAGGAAAAGCATTTCATAAACACATTTCTGTTCTTAAAAAATTCTGAAGTTATTTTTAAATGAAAGGAAAATATATGGTTCATAGATTAATCTACAGTAAATTCATAATATTCTGCTACATGGTTATAACTGGTTGATTCCAGATGCCACATAGATATTTTCTGGCGTAACAAGATAATAGTTATGCTATAGAAGGAAAAATATTAATAAATATTAATACATATCTTTGATGACTTTAAAAATAAGATTACAAATATTAAAAAGTTATATTTAGTTAACCAGTGTAAGAATAATACAAGAAACTTTTATTTTTTTCTAGTACAAAAAATGTCATCACAAAAATGGTTCACAGATACAATCCAGAAAGATCATTCTTTTATTTGCAAAAGAAATCTGACTGATGAAGCATACATTTTTAGACTAAACTGAAGATTATTTTTGACATAGATACTTTGTTTTGTTTTAGAAAATGTTTTCTTAAAAATTAATAACAATAAACCCTTTACACTTTTTTTTGCATACTGTCTGTTAATCTGTGGTGTATCTGTTGGGCTGCAAGCAAGGACACGGATCAATATTTTGTTACACAGACATTTTATCCATCGGATATTTACCCTGATTCTTCGCACCAGGCTGTCATTAGTCCAGCAATTCCCTAATGTGGCCACAGTAACTTTGCACGACTGGTGATGCTGTGGAAGCTCATTGATTACCTTCCAAAGTGTTTCTGCTTTTTCCTCCAACCCTCTCCAGTGTAAGAAATAAAATAGTGGACTGTAAAGACATTGGTAAGACCTCAGGATGGAATTTCTCTGTGGATTTAGGGTACAGTTCTTTACAGACCTTACTGGAATTGCAAGTATTCATGAGATAATTAGACACTTTGAACTTTGTTGGATGTACGTTTACAGAACAGCTCCTTG